TGGACTCCCATAGGAGTCCATTGGTTAAAATAAGGTCCTCATAGCGATTTCGATCAACGACAGGGATGAACGTCCTTTTTGAGATTACGATCGTCAGTAGGAGTAAGAACAAGGGGTTTGCTTTCGATGGAATTCAAGGGAAGTGAGTTGCAATAAAGGGGAAGGACTATCGATGAAGAATGCAAGAGGAAACTCATCAGGAGCAATCTGGATCAAGGAGTAGCACTTCCATTGACAACCATAGGGGGTAGACATATAAGAAATAGAATGAGTAACAACTCATAACCTCGCATGCTACCATGCGACAATCCCATTGTGCATTGATTAATCTAACGATCTTAGAGATGTAAAGTTTGTATTTCCAAATAAGTGAGCAGTTTATTGATTATTTTCTAGAATAGCCTGCTAATTGTAAAGCTGTAGAGCTGAATTGGAAGCTGTATTCCCGTCGCAACAGTGATTGAATAGCATTGGGTGCCAGCCTTGGCTGGCCTTTCCAGCGGCAGTGGAAGGAGATTCCACCAACAAGAGCTCTCCATTCCCAGCTCTTGTGCACCTACCAGCTGAGTTCCTTTGGAATTTCATAGGATTAACTTGTCGCAAGCACACAAGAGTGGCTCTACAGGAGTGTGGAAATCGAGGACGAAGAAGAGAGGAAGTGCCGATTGACCTACCGACACGGCTGACACCAGATCGACGACAGAAAACTGGAATAGCGACCGATTCGAGTGGAACCAAGACAGTCACCTATCAAGTAGAGGTTGCTCTACAAGATAGACCATCCGGTGCTTCGATTAATAGGCCCAGGACACCGGCCGTCGAGTGGGAACCATCAACCGATTGACCAACAAGGAATATCGCGATCGGAATCTGCCGATCGACATAACTCGACCAATATCGAAGCTGTAGGAGTGAAACCAAGCGTCCCACCTATCAAATTGAGGGTGCTTGAGAGGATAGTCCAGCCATTTTCTTGTTAATCGGCTTTGTTACGGCGGCCGCGAGTGGAAGGCCACAGGTACATCATTGTCGACTTTTCTTTACGGAGCCGAATATCTCAGTCGTGCCTGCGGAGGGAAAAAAGGGACGTTACTCACACGGTACTCACAAGATCGGTACCGTACCTCCGTTCCGAAAGCAGGCCGAGCCGAAGATCCGATTCGCCTCACATTTCGATCGATTCCGTGAACTCCTTGGCTCCGTATACTGTTCCGAGTACATTCCAAGGGTATCAGTGTGTCAAGCAGCCTCTGTTTAGTCATTGACCAACAGTGCACGCCTTCAGGACCACTTTTGGATTTTCTACCGCAACACCCCTACACTCCCACACTGTTACAGCCAGCGCAACAACAACCATCATCATGGCTCGCAAGAAGACAACAACACAGGCCCAGTCTGCCATTGGTGTTACACCAACAGCATCTAGCAAATAGCACTGCCAACACCAACAGGTCCACAACTGCAGGACCTCCACATCCAGTTCCATAACATGGAAGGACACCTGTGGACCTCCCTGTAGCCTACCAGTCAGGGCCTCCCTTTGTGACTCCTTCTCCACCAGCCAACCAAGGTGTTACCCTTTCAATGATCAGCCACCAACTGGCAATAGCATTGAAGAAGATGAACCAAATGAACCAAGCTCCCCTGGCCCCACCACAAGGCCACAATACCAATCAGCTTGTTTCCTTCCATCCACATGACTCCATTCCCTGCACACCTGGTTTATCACACCAGCCTAGCCCTGAGATTCAGGCTAGGAGGACCGATTCAGAACCAAGCAGCTTGGGACCGAGTTTGTTGGGTGATGTTGAGGAACCTCTTGGTCATCCATCCCAACCCAAGGTTGCCATGGATGTTGCCCCTCCCTCTGCTGGAGGTGGATACCATCACCCAGTGTGGGCCCTCAATGGGGCGGTATATCCCCAACCCAACACCAATACCATCACATCGCGGCATCCCACCAACACCCCACTCTGTGAGATACCCAACTACACAACCGATGTCTTCAATCCCTACACGACCTGTATTCCCAGCAGCCTATCAGCCCTTGCCTATTAGGCCGGCATCATCCCAGACACCAGTACACTCAGCCATTCCTCTAGTCAGCCAACCTACTGAACAACCGGAGAAACCAAGAAGAAAGTCAGCCTTCATTCCCACTCCTGATGGCAATGGTGGTATTCCAAGTCCCAGAGGTGGTGGAGGAGGTGGCAACACAGGCCCTCCAGGCAAGCCCTTTAGTGCCAAGCCGGATGCCACGGCCTACCCTACCCTCAATTCCAACAAGGACTTCGACCAGTGGTATGAGTCCCTTATCACTATGGCTAGAGGTCAGGGGTTTCATAAGATCTTTGATGCCGACTACGTCCCAAGCAGCACCGAGTCCATGGATGAACTTGTACGAATGAATCATTGGTTCTATGCTGTTTTCCAGAAGACAGTGCTGACCACCAATGGAAAGGTAGTCGTGAGGTCCCACTTCCGTGACTCTGACTGCTTTGCCATTCTCGTTGAGTTTGTCCAGGACGCTCACTTGTAAGTAGCAGGTTCTCTGGATAATGTGGAGACACTCACATGGCTGACTAGTGTGCAATACAGCCAGAGGAGCAAGGTTCCGCAGTGGACTTCATTGTCATGTTTGACACAGTTGTTACCCGTTACAATGATGGCCAAGGAGACTCCCGTGATAGGCTCACCGATGGTATACAGAAGCTGTTCTTAAAGCGGGCCTTCACCGGTGTTCCCACCTTGAACGACATTTCTGAACGTGAACATGAGAGAGTATGTCGCGAGGGACATCATGCATCGTTTACATACGACGGGTACAAGGAGTTGCTACTGAATGCCGCCACATTCTTTGACATCAAACGAAGAGATGATGACTCACGTCTAGCCAACATAGCCAACATTGACAAAACGAGACATCAGGGTGATGGGGAGCAGCAGTGTAAAGTTCCACGCCTTCCTGACTACGTCTGGTCTCAGCTATCCAACAATGGACGCCAGAATTGGTACAGGCTCTCTGTAGCTGACAAGAGAGTCCTGATGGAAGCCCATCGTCGATCCCAGATGTCAGACATGGTGGATCTGAAGAGCGAAGCTGACCCACCAGTCGGGGACGCCTTAGAACCTCCAGATGGCAATACGGAGCCTGCAGCCTCCACGGGCATGTGCAGGACCAAGGCGGATTTTTGCCTGGGCAACTAGTGTTTTTGTCGCACTGGTTGAGCCCAAGGTACCCAGGCACCGGCCATGGCTGCGGGGTAGCATGCTACCCTCATAGGGGCTACCATCCGCAGGACATGGCCCAATATGACAAGTGTTTGTGCTTAACTTGTCATCTCCAGGATAGATATTCCAAGTACAATGCTTGTGAAAACATGTTTTGTGACTCCCACCCTCCCGCACTGATGGCACTCCCTTCACTTTCGGGTGATGGGGAGAACTTACACCGTGTCACCCTCAGCAAAGGTGAGGCAGTCGGGCTAGAGCAAAACCCACCCAAGCTGATGGATGTGGAATGAGCCACTGCAATGTCATGTGACAGGACCTTCACCGGTCGATACCCAACCAAGCACCAAGTTAGTCGTGTGTCTCTGGACGGGATTCTTTGGAACCCATGTAAGGAGATGGTAAACTTGAGGGGACGTCTGCGAGGTTTTGCCTTTAGCTGAGGCATTATCTGATGATAGGACAACCAATCCCACCTCATAGGATGACAATTTGTCACCTAACTACCCATTTGAGGGCTCCAGATGAACAGTTATGGCGCAGATTGTTCTCACTGGCACTTATGGGGAGATAGACAGATACCTCCTAAGCCAATGAGCTATGATACAAGTATGGGGAGACCAGATTAGATCCCAATTGACGGTAAAATGGAACAATGCCAATACACCCTTTCTCCCCTGAACACGACTGGAGGTGTGATCACAAGCCCATGTGATGCCCCCTCCCATTGTGCCCAGTGGTATCAGCAATGGACGCCTTGATGTATTCAAGAGGGTTGTTAACCCCTGAGGTATGCGACCAGAGTCCACACTGAGCAGTCAGATCCTCCCAGTTCATGGAAGTATCGAGGGAAGCCCATGATGTGCAAGCTTGTTTGCACCCCATCCATGACTCAAATGGTGGGGAGCGATGAGTATGCCATAGGAGCATAGTATGGTGTGCGGCGCGCAGCTCTGCTGGCTCAGTCTGGTGGAAAGATCGCTGCTGCATCTGTACACTCTTTCTGTACAATGAGCTGTGTCAACATCAGACAAGATAGGAACAGCTGTAGAAGACATAGAGTTCCTCTGCAAGGAAGGATGATGGAGTTCCTCAGCCATGACCAATCTAGAAAGATAGCTTGGTATATACCAGCCAAAGGAGATGCAAGAGAAGAGCCAAATCTGCATGGCTGAGTGCTTCCGAGGATTTTGTGTTCAGTTAATTTTAGCATAGTTTAAAGAAGTAATGAATAAGTAGTTGACCTGAGAAACAGACCAAACAGCACAAGTAGAGCTCTGCAGTAGACAGGATCCTGTATGGCCAGTGCCAGGGTATTGAGCAATTAGACTGTTCAATCATTGCTTCCACAGTGATTGAATAGCATTGGCTGCCAGCCTTGGGCTGGCCTTTCCAGCCCAGCCAGTGAAGGAGATCTTCATCAACCAAAGATCTCCATCCCAGCTCTTGTGTACCTACCAGCTGAGTTCCTTTGGAATTCATAGCAGCAGTCTACACCCCTCTTGACTTTGTCTTCCTCCATGTTTGTTCGGTGTTGCTATTGATGCCTTTTGCCAGTTACTATCGGTTGGGGAGACGAGTTGGTGGCTTGCTGGAAGCGGAATTATGACATCTACGTAGCTGGGCACCGCCCAACGATTATTATCCATCGTGCCTCACCACGACGGTGCCGGTAACGGTACGAAAAGTACTACGGTACCGGTAGTAGTCCTCCGCGCCGATCTTTTGAATCATCTTTGAAACACCAGCAGAGCTGCTAAAGATCGAGGTGACATTTTTTTCAGTTGCTTTCAACGCCCATCACACAAAACCACAAACCAACCGTGTCAGTAGTTGTCGTCGCCTTGCTAGCTAGCTAGCTACCTTAGTAGTAGGGATCCTTGCAACTTCCAAGTCCATTACGATGTCTTGCCTTCGTGTCGTTTCCTGGAGTATCCAATTTCTCTTGCTCCTGGTGTTGATATGTGCAATCCTCGTAGGAAAGATACATGCGCTGGTAGACGCACCCAGGCTGCCTCTGGATGCTGTGCACAGAAAACCCTTACTGGCAGTATCATCATCATCATTGCGAGGTGGCCATCAGGAGGAATCCTTGTCGCTAGAAGTAGAAGAACCTCCTGTTCCGCCACCCGAGGGATTTTACCTCGAGCACAATATAGTCCCCGAAGAAACTTGGAAGAGACTCGAGCACTGGCTGGAACACGACACTACCATTCCGTGGGAAATTGGGGCACAGAATCGAAGCGTGGCTCAGTTTGGATTTCGATACAACTACGATACATCCGAGGTCGAGTTTGCCGGTGATGATGATATTGTCCCCGAGATTCCCGTGATACTGCGACAGCTGCTCTTGCAAGCTCCTGGGACAAGACGGATTTTGGAACAAATCAAGGGTGCAGCAAAGGCTACCACAGAATTTACCCAATGCATCATTAATGTGTACCATGATCACGATATCATTCCGTGGCATTGGGATCATGTCGATTTTGGGCCTACCATCTTGGTCTTTACATTTGGCGAGACACGTCCATTGCAACTTAGAAAGCTGCTCCAAAAAACATCCTCGCCTCTTCCACGGTCCCAATGCCACCACAATGAAGGAGACTACGATGCCACAAAAGACTATCAATACTGCACTACCACTCCAGGGCATAGCTCTTCCTATGTCTTGTCAGGGCCTTGTCGGTATCAATGGGAGCATTCTGTGCCACCAGGAGCCGGATATCGTGTCTCCTTCACGTTCCGGACACATGTCAACAATCAACAACGGCATCATTCCGATGACTAAGCAAGATGGAGCAGAAACACCAGCGACAAACAGCTGACCACCGCTTTAGAAGCTATGATCACCAGCTCCAGTCCAAAAGAGAATTGGACGTTGTGCTGTACATTTGGAGTCGGTGGCAAGCAAAGCTGCGCCTGTATCGATGACCTAAACTCGATGGGGCTCTGGCCACCTCATCAATCCACCTAATTCAATCGACGAATGCAACTCATAGTTTCGTTTGGTTTGATTGATTCTAAAAGCTTATCCAAGCATACTGGCTGGTAGCAACCCAACATCCACCAAATATTATCTACACATCAATCATCTGGGTGACGTTGACAAATTTTGTTTCATACTCCGCCACAACATCTCTCCCGCGTTGTACCCACTCCTCCCGATTTGCCAATGCATAATCCAAGTATTCAGCACTGGAGACCCCAAAGACACCGCAATCCTTCAATTTCTTTGCAAGAGGAATGATGTAGAAATCAAAAAATCCAATCTCTCCCTCGTACCAAAAGCTGCAAGGATTGGTATCGGATCTCCCATCCGTGTAGGCTTGATACATCTCCTGGAAAAGCCGCTCGTTCCACTTTCGGAAGACATGCCAATGTTGCATTGTGTGCGCAATATCGGAAGCTTGTATAAGATGCTCCAGGACAATGGTGGCCTTGCGATCCACTTCATCCTTTGGGTTTTCATCCGAATGATCTGTGGCATCACCCAGCTTGAATGCTCTGTTCCACCGAGCCTTTCTCAGGGCACCCAAATCCTTGTCTGCAATGTCAGTAGCTAGCACAACGTTGATGATGATGGAGCGGAAGCGTTCTAGTTCTGCTTGTGTGGTATAGATGCAACTGCGCAGTTCCTTGTACTTGTCACTCATCAAGAGTTCCCACGCTAGATCCACGCTGTGTTGCTCCGCCACACTCTTGTTTTTGTATTTGCCTGCGAGCTCGGTAGCTTCCTTTACCAGGGTCGCATTGGGCACTCCAGGATGGTCGAGGTCATGTATCAGGGCGGACAGCACGACAGCAAACTGTGTCAATGGATCGGAAGTTAACCCATATGTATGATCTGAATGCCCATAAAAAAGAACAGTCCGGTGAGCCTTCTTGTCCCTTCAAAGCGTAATACAAAATGTCTGCAATATCCAACTTACCATGGAGTTTCGCTTCTGCATCGTCGGAAGGGGAATCATGCACAGCCTCGGGGCGGACGATACGAGAAAGCAACTTTGTAACTGACAGTGTGACATGACTTGCATGCTAGGGTGGGAAATGGGGAGGGACCGCAGAGTGAGCTTTTTGACACCAAGGGAAACGAAAAGGGACCAAGCTTGCTCTCCTTACCTCAAAGCTGTGGAAGGCGTTCTCATCTCGATACCAGGAGGCAAACGAATACACGAGAGTATGCAGTTGCTGCTTAACAACTGGGATCAACTCAACGTCCTCATAGTTGACTTCCTTCGTGGCGGCACAATATATCGGAAGCTGAACAATTTCTTTGACTTCGTCGAGCGGCGTCTTGCCGTTCCCCACCGTCGCAAGCTCCTCTTCCGACAGTGGTTCCGATGACTCACACGTTCCTGCAGCTTGTCGCTTGGCCATGACTTGCTTTAGAAGCCTGGACAAAATCTGAACGTTCCAGTCCACCAGACGCTGGGTCTTGAGGTCCAACAAGTCATCTTGATCAGCGCTTGCGTCATCCGTAAAAGCAAGCACTTCCGCCTCACTGTTTCGCAAAAGGGGCTTGGATGATGACTTGCGCTTGTTGTCCAAGATGCCCATGTTGGGGGATTCAAATGACGATCCGCTGTACGTGCTGGATGCATCACTGCTATTCTTGGGAAAGACCCAATAGGACTGCACCATTCCTTTCGAGCGAACAGCAATTTTTTCTTCTCTGGGTTGGAGCCAATGAGGTTTGCCCCCCGCACGCAAAAGTTCCGCTGTCTCTTCACTAATGTGGATCTTGTTTTTGCCACCTTTCTGTTCCAAAAGTTCAGTAGTTTCTAGGGTATCACCAAAGAGCTGGAACCTGAGATTATCCCCTCGCAGCACACCAGCTGTTACTTGCCCACTGTGGAGGCCGACCCTCATTGAGAGAGCCGCAGTTCCAGGTCCAAGTCGAACCTCCAACTCGTTGGTCAACGAGACCATTTTCATCAGACAATCATGCGCGAAGCGTGCCATAACTGAGAAAGAAGAAGTGTGAGAATGCTGGCATAGAGGGGCGGCAAAAACCTCGCCACATCGTTCCAAAAACTCACTTATTGCATGGTCTCGGCGCGGCGCTGTTCGACGGAGTCCAAAACAAAATTGTATTGGTGAGCACACTGCTCAATCCAAACCCCTGGCAAGTCCAACAAGGCCCAGCGAACTAACTTACTTGGAAGCCCCGCAACAGCAACGTAACTATCGCCCTGGAAAACAAACAAGGCAAGAGTGGTGGCGTCAGATTCGACTCTTGCAGGATGACGCATAAGTCAAGTTAGTACACGGGACGCTAGGCCTCCTAGGACCTACAATCGTTTCAACTTTGAACACTCTTCTTCGTTCTGCAATCTCATCGAATGCCCTGTACAGAGTCTCCAAGAGCTCAAAGACCTACATGAAAGAGAGGGAGAACGGGGATGTGAGCTGGGTACGTAACTTGGTATTAGGTGAATCAGGATCTTACTTACCATGGTGGGTTCGCGGGTGGAAGACCATGCTGTGAACCCCGCGATGTCGGCCTCCATGACGGTACAGTCGCTAAAGAGATCCGCCACAGGTGGAGTGGTGTACATTTCCGGTCCGTCTCCACGATCGGCAAACAAGCTTTCGCCGCGTCGACTGGCCAGGAGCGGACTCTTGTTGGCGCGCGTCTTTTGCAGGAATACTCCCTCTTCCCCGTTTTCCTTGCCAAACAGCCGTTCGCGGTATTCTTTGGGAAAGAGTCCAGTAACGAGTTCGTTGCTGCGTTGGACCGTCTCGGCCACTTTGCGGTTTTGTCTTTGGAGGATAAAGTCATAGGAGATGAATACGAGTGATACCAAAGCAAAGATGAGAATGGCAAAAATGCTCATGGTAATGGGAAGCCATGTCTCGTAATCGGCTTTCATTTGGGACGATGGATAGATATAGAGGTGATGGAGGCATCGTGATTCGCCGTCGGCTTCCGTCGCACTGGGGTAAATGTTGGAGTGTTTGGCAAACGGACTGGTGACGACCCACTCATTCATGGAAGGATCGTGGAGGTCGGCATGTCCCAGAAACTCGACATTGGCGCCCACAATGGCCAGAGTAAAGACCCCGCCGCATTCGTTGGACACGACGACTTGGACGGGATGCGAGTCATCCGAGAGGACATTGTCAAAGAAAATGTTCCACGGAAAGTGGACCAACAAGTATGCCACAATGGCGGCACTGTCGTCTTCCGCAAAAGATTCCATGATGGGTTCAAAGACCAAACTGGTGGGAAAGTCCACCATGTTGACATCGGCCAAATCCAATGCCGTGAGGATGCCTCTCCGTGCTTTGCTGGACGCTCTCTTGGGTTCTGCAAAGACTGGCATACTGTCCAGATTAAAGTTGACAAAGGCATTGGTAGTGGGGAAGATCTGCGACAGCGTCGTGACCAGACCCGGCTCGGTGACGGGCGCAATGGTCCCATTTACAGCGTCAAAGTTGAACAAAAAGGGGACAATGGTATCGTCACCGTCTGTAATGCCGAGATAGTCGTATCCTTCATGGAGCCATTCCTTGTTGCTTTCGGTCAGGGAATAGTTGACCCATGCCTCTCGCTCGGGCTCTTCGATAATGGGGCAAATGGTAGCGTATATGGCTCCGGTGAGATTGCCAAAGTCACTGGCGCGGACATGGTAGTCGTCCACCGTCACGAATGGCCACTGCATACCACCATAACTGGCGAGTGAGGTAATCTCGACACCAAACGTTGCCAAGTGGAGAAAGGCATCGGTAGCCTTGGTTTCCGAGACGCTGATCAGTTCATCCGCATAGTACTCGTACTACAGTATGCAGAGCAGAGCAAAGCAAAGCAAGCAAACACAAGCTCCAGTGAGGTGATGAACACTTATTTGCATATCCATCCTGCCTTCTATTCTTGGAACATACGTACCTTTTGCTGAAACTCTGCCGTTTCCTGGTTGCTAATGAACTTGTACGTAAAGACGCCGGCAAAGGCAGCCGAAGCACAGAGGACGATACCCACGAGGATCTTGGAGTAGAGGACATGCCTCGTTTCCGTCTTGGCAACCCGTTGTTTGGATTCATCCGGTTCGTCTTCGTGCTTTTCAATACTGCTGCTTCGAAGCGAGGAAGGATCTATTCCCGACGACGACGACGAGTCGGAGCCCAAGCTGCTTTCATCATGGTCGTCCATTGCTCGTAGGTGCTCTGAAGGTTTAAACATGTTGTCTTGCTATCGGTGACTTTATCTCTATTTTCTGGTAGTATGTATGTAAGTTGGATGCTCGATTATTGGAGACCAATTCACGTAGAGCAAAGGCAATCTTCCTTCGGATTGAAACGGATTTCGGAGCGGCTCGGTGGCAGTTCCCGGAACGGAACCCTGGAATCGCATGGACTTCATGTACTTTCTTTTTATTTATTTGGCAAAAAGTGACCATGCAGTCCAAGTTCAATGAGAGAGAAATGGCCTCTCGGAAGAGGGTCATAAATAATGATGATACTTATGGACTTAGGGAAGATACACGTGCAGCGCAGATAATACTAACCATTTTCACTTGAATGAGCTCTTGAATGTGTGAATGAATGAATGACCTTCAAAGAAGCATTATTTGAAGTTCTCCAGACATTTCTCTAAATCCTCGGAATTCATTGTGCGAAAATCTTCTATCTACAATCCACACGTGCGGCAGGGTACTGGTACACGAGAACCAAATGAATATTCATTCCCAAGCACGGTACAGCTGCTAGTCTTGCCTCTCTTGCGGTTTTGCGCACTCGTACTGAGTATGGGGTATGGGGTATGCCGGGTATGGACCATCGCAGGTACCAGGTAGCTAGATACTAGCTAGTGCCTTTTGCTTGGCTGACTAAGCAATCAAGCAAGCATGTCAGTTGCTAGCTAGACTAACACTAACTGACCTGGCTGTTTCGATGATCTTCGTAGATGAATCCTAAAACAGATCAGTGACAGTCTATCTGAGTTCCATGCCAGTTTCTGACAACTGGAAAACAGTCTCTGACCACTGAGACTTGCAAAGTTGCAAAGGTCTTAAAAAAAGAAAAAAGAATACTTTGGAGCTTGGGAGCGAACCTACTCTACTAACTAACTAGTACCTAGCTAGTAGTAATAGCTCATGCATTGACTTGCAAAATTGCTTCTTGTACCGAGTCAAACAGGAGACCTGGTTTCCAATTTCGAAGCAAGCTGGCCTCCATCAGCTGCTGCTGTGCATGTATGTACTGTAGCAACTCGAGACTTGATACTGGGCAACAAGTGATGAATGCCCAATCTTGATAGTCAAGCACAACGATAGCAAAGGCCCAGCAAAAGCCAGGATGCAGATGACATTGTCTAAGGCTTGTGTACTGTGTACAGTAACAACTCTATGTCCAGACTTGGTGCTTAGCACTTAGCAACTAGCAGCATGGATGCCCGATCTTGATGGTCAAGAACAACCACAGCAAAGGCAAAAGCAAAAGCCAGGACACTGAGTACATTGTCGCATCGCTTGGGATCCATAAGGATTTATGATTCTAATGTCCACATTGAGTGCTCTTCGCAAGACATCCATGATTGCCATGACTGCTTCAAATAAATAATCCATCCCTGTATGTATTACCCAGGCAAAACACTTTTCCCTGCATTATGTGCAGACTACCAGAGCTACGTAGCGCTTCTCGCTGGAACTTCAGAGTTCTTTTTCAAGCTCTTCTCATCAATAGATTTATTGTCGATTTATTTTGTCCTCACCTTCTGGTTTTTCAGGACTTATGACTTATAAATAATAAATAACAGGCATACCTTTCCTCCTTTCAGCTACCGTACCGGCACCACCTTCCCCTCCTGGCTCTGGTTCAAGTCTTTCCTGCGTCCACATAAGATTCCTGTGGGCTCCTGTGAGCTGTTCCTGCATCCATACTCAAGTCGAGTCCTGAAGAGGCCTACCGTATGTCATACATCATGTACGATCGAGAAGAGGTTGAGCTTGTTTGCTTCATTGGACCAGATCTAGCTAGCTAGCTACCAGCTAGCTAGCTACCAGCTAGCTCTTCGTTGCTCGAAGCCTCTCCGGAAGCTGGCACTTACTTACTTGCTCTGACCTTGCAACTAACTAAAACGTCGATGGGGAATGCATGAAACAAATGGCCTTCTAATTGGATGCTCTAACCTTCTCTCACCTCAGCGATCAACTTTTTCAGAACTTCTACAAGTAGTGAGTCTACAACCACACCAACTATCCAGAGCATTCCATCCAAAGTTAATATCCCATTCAAAGAAGAAGAAGAAGAAGACAAGATGAGCAGCATCTTTGACGATGAAGAAGAAGAGCACTCTCATCAGTCTCTGATTGAGAGACAATCGTCTGTGGGAGGAGGCTCCGATAAAGGAGAGGATAATACCCCCACCAACCCGAGCAATGGGTCGGGTGCAGCCTCGGATGGCGCATCCCGAAGCATATACAGGACCAAGCTCTACATGGCTCTGGTGTTGACGGTCTTGGCAACGGTGATTGCCATTCTTACCCACAGATATGCGAGTAGTTTGGATAAGAGCAAGTTCGAACAGCAGGTAAGCAAGCACCAAGAATGGTGTGATCTTGGGGGGGAGGGTAGCTAGAGCAGGTGGATTATCTACGGAAGCCAGCAACGGCCAGGCTTGGGCAATGAAGAGGCGGAAGTTGGGACTAGGTTCCGTGGGATCAGGGGCAACAAATTGAGGAGGGGGCCAAAGGGCTTGGCGTGATTCATTCATTGTGGGGGCGGATGAATGTATAGTACTGTGCAAGCAAGCATGTGGCTCATCTCACCGTCTTGCCGCTTCTTTGTACACAGTTCCAGGATGATGCCCAAGAGATTATCAAGATTTCTCAGAACAACGCCTTCAAGGCATTTAGCACTCTGGAAGACTTTAGCCGCACCATTACTTCTCTTGGCAACTTTAAGGCAGGCAACGAGAGCTTTCCTCTACTGACAATCCCAGACTTTGAAATCCGAGCCAAGTACTTTCAGGAGATGACTGGATCGTCTTGGATGACTTTTATCCCCTTGGTCGACGAGGAAACACGTTCTGCCTATGAGAACTACACTCTGGAGAACCAAGGTTGGGTGCAAAAGGTCTACGAAGCTTCCTCCAACCTCACTATAAACATGCCACATCCAGTGCCGGGGTCCATCTGGCGGTTCCTTCCCAATAATGATCCCGAAACCAGTGAAGTAGCTCCTTTTGTCATTGCCCCTGACCTGTACAATATGCCGCCACCAGGGGAGAGCCTGCATCCCTACTATCCTCTCTGGCAGACGTATCCAGCCTACGAAGCAGTGGGCATTCCCATGAGCACTTGGGTTGGTTTCAATCTGATCAGTCTTCCAGATTATGTTGTACCCATTTCCAGCACCACACAGAACCGACATCCCATTATGGAGGCAATGCTCTTTGAATCCATCTTTACTGTCACCCCGGAGGGTCAAGTGCCCACGCCTGAAAGCATTGTATTCCAGCCCATCTTTGAGCGCAACAATGACCCAACGGCCGACATTGTGGGCTTTCTCATGGTGTATCTACCGTGGGATGCTTTTTTTCAAAATATCCTGTCCGACAGTGGTTACAATTTGATTGTAGAGGTCGAGAACACTTGTGATCAGACAGCATCATTCCTTCTGGAAGGATCCAAGGTCACAACCCTCCCTCGAGCAGTCGAGGCGGAACAACCAGGAAACGAGACTGAGAGTTCTTCAGCGGATGATCAAGACGAATCGTCAAGTGACGAGGAACATGATGACCATCACGAAAACGTCCCGTACATTGATGGTCGCTATGTGGTCAAGTCCGAGTTCGCAGAGTTCACCCGATGCAGTGGAAACTATTGTGACAGCGCTTGCGACTTTCAAATCCACATCTTCCCTCATCAGAACATGGAAGGTGTCTTTCAGTCGTCTACCCCGGTGTTCTTGACCATTGCGGTCGTGGTTCTGTTTGCGTTCACCTCCGTGGTTCTATTCCTCTACGACTACTTGATTCAGCGCCGAAATGGCAAGGTTATTGACACGGCCAAGAAGAACAATGCCATCGTCGCCAGGTTGTTTCCATCGCAAGTCCATGATCGGCTCATGAATCAGGCAGAGATGGGTGGAGCAAGTGCGGCGCGCAAACGAACGTCTGGGAGCGTCATGGCGGTCATTCCTTCCGGAGCCAGGTTCAAGCTCCATTCCTTCTTGACGACAAGCAGCAGCAACGGTCCCTCGGATGATCGACCAGGCCATCCACAGGGCGATAGTTTGGCTGACTTTTTTCCAGAGTGTACCGTCATGTTCGGTGACATTAAAGGGTTCACAGTAAGTGATCTTGTCGTGTGTGGCATGGACTGAAATAGTGTTGAGCCCTGCACTCACCCACTTGCTTGCGTGCCCATCGTGCTTGTCGTCACAGGCTTGGAGCTCTGTTCGTGATCCCGTGCAAGTTTTCACATTACTGGAAACCATTTACGGAGCTTTCGACAAGCTCTGCAAGAAAAGAAAGATTCTGAAGGTCGAGAGTGTCAAGGACTCGTATTTGGCAGTTTGCGGAGTTCCAACCCCACGAGTAAGTGCTGGAGAAAACTTTCCACCAGTCGCCCAACATGGGCCTCGCTAACCATCTCACCGTAATCTCTACTCCGTTTGCCATTCTAAAGGAGGATCATGCTGTCGCCTTGTGTCGCTTCGCGTCCGACTGTAACGACCAGATGAACCGACTGGTTCAATATTTGGAGAAGATGTTGGGACCCGACACTTCAGCACTGTCGATGCGCTTTGGTGTCCATAGCGGAGCCGTCACGGCTGGTGTTTTGAGGGGAGTTCAAAAGGCTCGCTTCCAGGCAAGTTCGAGAATATGTCACTGCCGGAAACGTCACTTCCCAGCCGAATCTCATACTTCTTGTTCGCTTGCTTTGCCTACATCTCCAGTTGTTTGGCGACACAGGTAAGCATCCCTCGTGTTGGGAGGCATGGAATACCTCGAGACTTTTGAGACTCACGCCTTGATGCTCATTGTTCAGTGAACACGGCTGCTCGGATGGAGTCGACTGGAGAAGCACGTCGAGTTCATGCCAGTGAAGCAACAGCGCAGCTTCTTCGACAGCGTGGAAAGGGCCATTGGCTCGCGCCGAGAGAATCGGCTGTGGAGGCCAAAGGCAAGGGCCGCCTCCAGACGTACTGGGTGACCCCCAAAGCAACCGATGCGAGCTCGACCGCATCAGGCAGGACTAGCGACGCATCATCCTGGGGTTTTGATCAACACCTCCATTCATCCACCTCCACTAGTGCCAAGTCAAGGCTCAATGGGAAGCTCCAACGCATCGTGGAATGGAACACTGAATTGCTCCTAAGGTTGCTGAAGCAGGTTGTAGCCCGCAGAAACGCCACAACCTTTCCAGGAAAGGGTTCGGGACCGGCTAGGGGTATCAAAAGGCTCCCTGGTGCAAACGTTATAGACGAAATGACTGAAGCTGTCAGGCTTCCCAGGTACAAGGCCAGCAAGGCACCCGTGAACGCCAATGCCATTGAACTACCGCTCGAGGTCGAGCAGCAACTGGAAGATTACGTTGCCACCGTTGCATCGATGTACCACGCAAACCACTTTCACTGTTACGGTAAGCACAAACAATGCTCTTCGCTCGTCCAGTCAATTTTTCCAGCGCAGATATCGCTAGTGTGTCCTCACTTTTCTCGTTCTGATGCATCCAGAACATGCTTCACATGTCACCATGAGTGGTACGTGGAAGTCCCCCGTGGAAAGTCCATGTGGAGTAGTGCATCAGTTCCTCATTTTCCCCTCTGTCTGTATCTTCCTCCAACAGTCTCAAAGATGATGTCTCGAATCGTTGCTCCAGAGATTGAAACAGCTGTTTCAGAAGATATGGAGGCCAACGAATATGAAGCCAAGCTCCATGGTACGGTAGGATTGTGGTTGCTGCATACGATATGAATCACACCCATTGAAGACCCAAGCTTTAGAAACACTCATCCCTCACGTATCGTTTTTCTTGTTGTTCAGATCACACATATGGCTTGACATCTGACCCAATAACGCAGTTTGCCATTGTACTGTCAGCACTGATCCATGATGTCGATCACCCGGGTGTGCCCAATGCAACCCTGGTAAAAGAAGGCACCGAGGAAGCAGTCAAGTACAAAAACAAGAGTGTGGCAGAGCAGCATAGTGTGGATCTAGCGTGGGATCTCTTGATGAGTGACAAGTACAAAAAATTGTGTGGTTGCATCTACAAAACACAGGCAGAATTGGAACGCCTCCGCCAGGTAAGCATCATTCAACTAACTGAGTTACAACTCTCTCTTATGTTTGACATTATTGATCTAACCAAATCTTTAAATTGTTCTTGCAGTGGGTGGTAACTGCTGTGATGAGTACCGACATTGTCGACAAAGTAAGTAAACTGCAGCCTGATCTTCCTACTGCAAGTTTCCGGTCTAACGTGGTCCTGTTGCTTCCCTTTCCTTCTTCCCAAGGACTTGAAAAAACTCCGCAACGCCCGATGGGACCGTGCCTTCAGCGACGAGACAACCACCCGAGCTACTTCCACATTGGACCGCAACATCAAGGCAACCATTGTTGTGGAGCACATCATCCAAGCCTCCGATGTTTCGCACACAATGCAACACTGGCATGTTTACTTGAAATGGAATGAGCGGCTGTTCCAGGAGATGTATCAAGCGTACAAGGAAGGGAGATCGGATACGGATCCTTCCACATTTTGGTACCAAGGTGAACTTGGATTCTTTGACTACTACATCATTCCATTGGCCAAGAAACTAAAGGAATGTGGAGTCTTTGGTGTTTCCAGTGATGAGTATTTGGACTATGCTCTGGCCAACAGGAGAGAATGGGAAGCCCGGGGCCAGGATGTTGTCAAGCGATACGTGCACACCCACGCGGATGCCGACGCCGACGAGACAACGACGCCCAATAGAAGAGCATCACTTGATGGGACGGAGGATGATGGTGTGGAGTGCTGATGATGAGAGAGATGACTGTTGAATCATGTTATTAGTAAAGACAATGATGATAAATCTAGCTAGGGTGCTTCCTGCCCAGATACTCCGGTGCTAGTGATGGTGGTACATGTAGTCAGTGCCAATGAAAGTTGCTGGTTTCCTGCATTTGACGGACTTCTTGACTTTTTTCACTTCAGTGTCAAGCCTCGTCGTCAAGGAGCTCGTATGAGTGGCTATGATAGCTAGCTAGCAAGTAGTTCCCTGCGAAGCAGCATCATGGTTTGTGCTACAGACTTAGCTCCTTCAGCGAAGGTTTGTCTTTGGTCGGGACTTGGAGTTGCACATTCTGGTTTCGAATAACAACCCTTGCAACCGTACCTGTACTTGCAGTGGCCAAAAATAGGATGGTACCAAGCTAAAATCATTTATCTAGAACCGTTGGATACCCACGTGTTGGCATTGGCAGCTCTTCAGCGAGAATTCCTCATCGACTGGAAGGCAACTTGCTTCGAGTTTTTGTGAGAATCCTCGGAGTTGCTCACAACAGCTAGAAAGATCCTAACGGTACCAACAATGGCTCGAAAAAAATAGACATGATGCCGTCCCTTTTTGTACTGATCCAAGTTTCACAGGGAAAAGGGGTTTTTATTTGATCTTGTCACTATAAAATTAGTCTCGTTGGGACATCTTCATCTCCATACTGTTTGCGTGAAGGTTGTCCTCCGATCCTTAAGTCACAGCGACACGGAACTGTTGCGACGCTTTTAATTCCCCCATCCATAACAATTATCGATGATGTTAGGATTTGACGATGTCATCTAAAAACGCCGCTCTTTGGCGTTGCAAGGGTTAGCTAAATGCCAACACAACTACTTGGGATTCCTCATCGTGCCATAAATTTAGATAGGCCGTCGAGCCGTCGAGAAATTCTAGCTTCTTGTTTGACTGTCATCCGGTGCGCCTCCTAGGACATTTCCAGCCATCAACCGCTTCTGTCGTTTCTGGTTGACTTGCCTTCCCTTGATTCCATCCCACTCCATTTCTCACAAGCAGCAGCCAGCCCATGATGATCATGTCGACAACTGTCGCCTCGCCTCCGCCGCATTCGAGTCCTCATGCACATCTAGAGCTGCTGTCTTCTACGGCAATCCTGAAGAAAGTAATGGATACCAAGGTATCGGAGTGGAAGCAGCAACAACTACAGTTGCAGATGCAGAGTCCATCTACTTCTCCAAAGAAGTCAGAAGAATCGACTGTTCCGTCTGCTACGTTGACACCCATCAAGTCGACGGTACCACCCATGATGATGGAGACAACGTCCCCCAAGGAAGCAACCGCACAGCCTCTGCCACCCAGAGGTGATCCACTGGACGGCCCCAAGGTTCCCAATCTGATGGCCGAAAAATCTAGCTCCACGCAAGCAGCACCGGTTCCCCCAGGTCCTACAACGGTGAGCCCCATCTTTATGGATGGTCGTTTGGCATACCGATATGCCGTTCCAACGTCCTATGGGAGTCTCTTGTTGGCACCTCCCCCGGCAGCACAAGCAGCTCCTCATCACATGATGCAGCATCACCACCCCCATTTGCTTGCGTTGGCAACCAACCCAATGGCAGCAGCTCACATGATGGCGGCTGGAAGCAAGGTGTTGGTGTATGGAGGTGGTCCCTCGTCGGCCTTTCAAAAGCCCTTGGTCATTATGAAGGAAGCGGCTCCAGATGCACGTCAGACAAGTCCTACCACGGCTGCTTCCGGCAACCAGCAGCAGGCGGCTGGAGAACGAGAAACTACTCCGGCGACGCCCTCGACGGCAGCCTACGAGGCGCTCATCCAGGAGAACCTTCGTCTTCAGCAGCAGATGGCGCAAAAGGACGACTTGATTGCCACCCTCCAATCCAAGGCGGATGGATTGGAGACACAGATTGGAGAGCTTCGTCAGCTTCCGACTGGAAAGATTTCCCACATTCCTCTGGAGTAAGTGAGAACAATAAGGTGACTTTCTCATTTGACAAAAGGTGACATTCTCTCTTGCTAACAAAATCTTTTTCCTTTCATGACTCTTTTTCGTTAGGGACATGATCCGCATTATGCAGACGTACGGGTCCGAAGTCTCCAACCAGACGTTGCCCAAGCGCAAACAACCCATTCAGAAGGCTTCCATTGTCCGTCAATTTCGGCGTTGGAATCCAGAATTCTTTCGATTCTTTGTCCATGTCAATGGAGAATGGGTCCCTCGTTTGGGCAAGGAAGGGGAGCTCAAGCGTCGTGCGGAAAAGCGTCGCGCCGTTATGAAGACCAAGAGGGCAGGAAGTCCGGATAGTACCACGAGCCATCATTAGAGTAAAGCAAGAGGCACGACACTTACTACCGGCATCTACATCTACACCAGAGAGAAGATACACGAGAGAAGAGAAGACAAGAAGAAACTACAAGAGAGAGAAGACAAGAATTTACACCAAAAACAGACACACAAGAAGATTACATGCACACCATTCCATTTCATCACCCACCCACCACCATTTAGAGTTTGATATTGATACATACAGAATCTCCTTGACCTCTATGGATTTCAAGAGGCAAGGAGAGCAGCAAAGAGTTGGAATCAACAGCCACAAGCAACGGGGTGCGCTTGCTGGTTGCACTCTTTTGCATGCACCAAGGACAAGATAGAGTTGGTTTTACATCACAAACAAAATATTTATACGTACACATACACCATCAAGAGAAAGAAAGAGACACAAGAGAGAGAAAGACACAGGTTACAACTGAAGACATTATAGTTAGTTTTTAAAAAACGAGGGATACTTCTTTTTATAAATGAATGTTTTTCACACAGCGTTAGTAACCGTACAGATACTTTTAGCTACCATTGGGACAATCAGCAACCCCTTGGTGCCATGCCTTAGACGGGCGGCTAGCTAGTACATACCATGGGAGGAGAGCCTACCATCCACCCAAAACTAAAGGGCAGCCAAGGCTGAACTCCAACTTTCTTTCCACTGTCACCGGTTCCTTTTTAGCTCCCAGGTTCCAGAAGCCATGTCTGCGTTGGACAAACAAAAGCCCAAAAGGGACGTGATGCCACCAATTCTCACATACGTGGCGGCAGAAATACTCGCGTTTCATGGAGGACGCAACTTGGCGGGACAGTTGCCACGGGGTAGCTAGCTACAGATAGATGAGTGGATGTGTGGATCTCTATAACTTCTCGATGTATCAGCATCCTTTGGAAGGTGGCTCTATCCAGCTGACATATTCTGTCTCGTTCCACGGACGTTCTGAAGATTTGATACAGTCGTAGCCGCAGCCGTCTCCAAATAAATCTCGACGTGGCCGTACTCTAGCTAGTAGAGTACATGTAGACTATGTAGACTAGTTGGATGGATCGTGCGATCGTGCAACAAGCAAAGTGCGTACAGTCCCGATGCAGGCAGGACCGTCCGACGGTTTTCACACAGGATTTAAAAAATCTTGAAATTTCCACGACTGAATGACCGTTTAAGACAATCCCTTAAACAATCCCTTAACTCATCAACTATCCCTTAAACAATCCCTTAAAGAAACAATCCCTTAAAACAATCCCTTAAATCTTGGACTATCCCCTAAACAATCCCTTAACGCCAAATGGACATACCATACAACTATCCCCTATTTCTTCAACTATCCCCTAAACAATCCCTTAAATAAACAATCCCTTAACAACAATCCCTTAAATCTTTGACTATCCCTTAAACAATCCCTTAAAAGAAACAATCCCTTAATTGTGCTGGTCAAGTTTTTGTCAGTCGTGGAACCTTTTTAAATCCTGAGTGAAACCGTTGGACGGTCCAGGTTCCTAGAGATGTTATGTAGATTCTTGATAGATTCGATCGGATACATTCAGGAGGATGCTATTGGTCTTTTATGTTGGCTCTGTTCCTCTGGAAAGAGCTAGTAGCAAGCAAGCCAGTGGAGGTGAATGCTGCGTTGCCCACGTGCGTATTTAGCTTGCTCTATAGCCCTTGAGTTCCGCAGGCATCCCTGGGTTTAGGTTTTATGCCTGGCCGCCAGTGAGCATGAGTACTATGGGCACGACTAATAGCGCTTGCTTGGGTTTGCGGAGTCTACGGAGCACCACGACAACGAAGCTGCCAAAATCCAAGACTAGTACATTGCCTTGTCACGATAGCTAGATGCCGATACTCCAACGAATCAGTGAAGGCGTTGAGCTACCGTACCGCGAGAGCGAGGTTCTCAGCGTTTCGCAGAAGGTTCTGCTAACAAGATAGCTAGCAAACGTAAAGATCAAGGGGATATCAGGGATCAGCGGAGGGATGTGACTCAGGAGTCCTCCATGGGCTGTAGCCGGCTGAGGCAGCCGATGGAGCTCCCAAATGCCCACGTCTCTCTCGCCAACTTGGTATGGGCGGTGTAGTAAGAGCTGACCTCGGCCGTACCGGTACAGTAGCTACCAGTAGAAACAAACAGCGAAAGATAACCAAGGCTGTGGAGCAGGCAAGTACCCAACACAAGGAAAGATCAGCATCAGTATTGCTTGCTTCAGACAATGGGCTGTGCATTTGTTTCATGATCTTAAATATACAGTATCGTCTGATGAAGTCTTTCAGGGTGCAGTTGATTCACCCCACTCTCACTTCTGAAACCTACTGGTCAGTCAAGGTAGTGTCCAACTAGCTAGATCGAAGCAATTTCTACAAACAAAAGCAAATTCCTCTCTTTGTAGTAGCCAGGTCCCACACAACAATAATATCAGGTTACAATGTGGTTAGAATACCCAGGTGTGGGAATGGACTCCAGAAGTCAAGGGCAGCATTGCAGGGGGCTCAATCCTGACAACCAAGATTGAGCAGACCAACCGAAGAAGGAATGGATTGCAGTGAAGGAGGCTAGGGATTGGGGCATGGGTGAGAGGACAAAGACTAGTGATCGAGATCCAGAGGGCCACGATAGTCCCAATGCCGGTAGCTCATTGTAGGAGCAGGAACACGAGAACCACAGAGGAGCATTGTAGTGGCTCGAGAAGGGCATTGCTCAATCGGGCAGAAAATTATTGTAGGAGGAACCAAAGAGTATGCATAGGTACAGTACGGGTAAGGCCAAAAGACAACAGACAACATCCTTTCACTACTTATTACAGAGCGGAACTCATCAAGAAAAATTTAGAATTCAACAAAAAAGGATTGTATAACTAAAATTCAGGGTGAGTGGTAGCTGTAAGCATTATTCGAATGGTCCGGTGTTCGAATCACCGTGGGTGCTTGATTTCATCAGCACTTATAGCTCAGTGGTAGAGCGTTCGATTGCAGATCCTTTTTCCTTTTGGGCGCCTCCAGCATTGATAGCTCAGTGGTAGTGCGTTTGATTGCAGTTCTTTTTTTCATTTGGGCCACTCCAAAATCCTGGTCCCTGATGAAGCTGCGCCGCCGTGACAAGCTCCAAGCCAAACGTTGCATGCATCAAGCAAGTTGCAAAGCAAAGTATATACCAAACATGCTTGTATCCCAAATCATTTTTAGTATCAAATCGTTTCCAGTATCAAGCAAGGTTAGATTTCCATCGCCTTGATCAAGACCAAGATTATGCAGTGGCGAAATGATCGCAATCATTCTTCCCCCGTCTTCCACTTGGTCCCCCCTTTCCGCCTTTCGAAACGAGCCCTGGTGGGTGTCGGAGAGCGTGGTGAAGGAATTTGATTGATCCTTAGCAGCTCTGCTGGCGTTTCAAAAGGTTGTCTCTTCCGCTCCATCCAGCCATTGGATAACCCCCGAAGCGCAAGAGGCATCAATCTATTATACATGTACCAGGTAGCAACAACAAACATGGAGAAAGACAAAGTCAAGAGGGGTGTAGACTGCTGCGCCAACACACCTGACCAGCACACACGAGAAAAAAGAAATACAGATACTAGAATGACTTTGAGGTATCCACTAAAAATGCCTCGGAGGCACTTGTCCATGTCTTGTGCGTCCTCGAGTCCCAGAAAAGCAACAGCAAGGCAGTAGCCAAACAGCTGCTCGAGACTGCCTTGAGTCTACAGAAACAAGTGAATGAACTAGTTCAGAAGGCATCTGCCCATCTCAGGAATGCCCCAGAAGACTCCGTTTTGAAGCATGAGGATATTTGGACCAAGCGGATTCTTCCCATCGTTGGGACTGGGTGTTGGGGATTCGCGATTAGGGATTCAACCTGTACCTCTGTACTAGAATTTGATGCCAGTAGAAAAAGCCAAGGAACCCACTTTTTCAGTAGTATCTCAATAGACAACAGTAACAACTAAGAGAGCTTAGAGCAACTAACATACTACTGAAAAAGCGGTCTACTATCGAAACGAAGAAGAGAAGAGGAGCCTATCGAAGCAACGAAGAAGCTAACGGTAGCAGGAAGCTCGCGACGCGAAGAAGAGCGAGTATCGGCCGAACGCCGATCGCGACGACGCAAGGATCCGAGGACGGATTGCGACGAAGACGATAGAGACCAAGCCTGTCGAAGCATCGACAGCAACAGCGAGGAGACTGTCAAGGAACGACAGCAACAAGAGAAGCCCTTCAGGACTGAAGGCATCCGAGGACGGATCAAGACCGCGACGACGCATCGAGTTTCGTCGGCGGCAACGAAGAGGAAACTGCAGTCGACGACGACGCAGCAGAGTTTCATCGGCAGAATCCACAAGGATTGTAGATAGAAGAGCCGACAGCATCCAGCCGGAACTGTCAGAGCCAACAATCAAGCGCGAAAGCCATAGTGCCAGCGCATGGGCCAAAGGACGGGCACCCAACAAGGAATCAACACTACAAAGAAACGGGTTCGGAGTGGAAACGACCGCACAGTGTGTGAAGCAATCGTTCCCTCCCTGCAAGATCTTTAGTAAATAGATTTAACACTCCCTAGCCAGGAGTATAAATTTGAAGTTATCGCCCCATAGCCAAAAGACGAATAAGTAGTCGGACGAGAACTTAAATTAAAAGAGCTAGTCAATCAAAAAACAACGAATTGAAATAGTCCACCTACCGTAGCATAGACAATGAGCGGTAGAGGTAGAGGAAGAGGTGGCCGAGGAGGCGGCAAAGCACGAGGGCATGGAAGAACCAGCCCATCGTCGAACCAGCAGAAAGGTTCATGCAAAGCCCTCGACCAACATGTGTTTCACTTCGGTACAACTGGATCTGGAACGGCAGACCAGATGATACGCACATGGGAGAAGATCGTCATCCACGTTGGACAAACGATGGGTGACGACATGAGCAATGAGCTACGCAACCTGAAACAGACAGTGTTGGTAGCACCGGTGTACTCTACGGAGACCCAGAACAGGCTTGAAACGGCGAAGGTACGACGTGCT